TACTGTACTGTATTTGGTAAACTGGAGCTCAGGGCAACTAAATTAAATTCTCGCTTAAATCAGTTATTAATAAATTTGTCTGTTTTTATGGTTTGCTCTATTATTAATAACCAAATAACCTAATTAATAATTTAATAGTGTGCATTAAGTTAGCATTAAGGTACTCATAAAAGCGCTTCATAATATATTTATTTGTTTAATTAATATGAAAATCCATTGGTATTATTTAAAACCATTTTATTTGAAAGAACTTATTTAGAAATTCAAATTAAAACAAAATTTGGATACAATAAACAAAGGCTTCAACTTCTGGGGCCAATTGGGGAACGGAAACAATTGCAATCAATTGATACCATTGCAAGTGCGGGCCATCAACCGGGAAGTGGTTGTGGCCATCGCTTGCGGACACCACCAGTCGTTAGTGCTTACAAAGAGCGGTCAGGTGTACGCCTGGGGTCACAACGCGTTCGGCCAATTGGGCATCGCGTGCACCGATCGGTTCCGTAACATTCCGGCCAAAGTCCGTGTGACCAGCGAAGATCTGATGGTTACCAAAATCAGTTGCGGTCAAAATCATTGCCTACTACTGACATCGGGCGGACAGATGTACGCCTTCGGGAGCAACTATTACGGCCAAATTGGTAACGATAGCAAACAGGATCAGTTCGCGCCGACCCGTATCGGTCCGCCCGGCGCCAAGTTTACGGACATCGCGTGCTCTCTGTTCAGCAACACGTCGGCCGCGCGCGGGGCTAACAAACGGGCCTACATTTGGGGCAAATGTGTCGATGAGAAGCTTTGGGTGCCCCGCGAGACACCCGTCAAGACACTTGAGGAGGTGTTCGCCCGATATAATTATGTCACGTTTGAACCACTCGTCCTCAACCGTAAGAAGACTTTTCCCGAGAAAGTGATTTGTTTTATGAATGGAGTGAAAAAGCGCATCACCTGAGCCGAGACAGGGAGTCGGTCTGTCTGTCTGTCCATACGAAGAGGTTTGTCACCACTTCCCGTTGGAATCGTTGATATTTGATGTTTTTCTCTTCCCTTTTCATATATCAGTAGTTTTTCTATAAGTATTTCATGAGATGTTTGTTATTCAGTATTTAATTGCATATATTTTCTTATTATTGTTGTTATTATTAATCATTAATTCAGTGATTGATAGCAATGTGTGATTACAAAGACATTTGTTTGAATTGTTACCAGTATTTCATTTATTAAATAAATTATTTTGACATTTCATTGAATTTATAACTATTTTTAATCAAGTTTTACATATAATTCAAATAATAAACTAACAAACGTTAAAAAAAATTAAACAAAATTTTTATAAATTAATTAATAAAAACTTAATTAAATAATAATAATAATACTTAAGAAACAAACACTCCATTTCATGCACACAGAAAGTTATATTTACTGTACTGTATATACATTTCAATATAATGAATACACTATTCGTTTGTTTAATAACAGGTAAATAGTTTAAAATATTGATAATGGTAAATTTTGATTAATACACAAAATATTTTAATAATCTGAAGCTGTGTTTATCTGCTTATCCATTGGAGAAACAATATCAGCGAAAGTGGTGTCACGTTTTGATTATAATGCTTATCCCGATGCCGATAGTGGTGTCAAAAACATGATGATTGATTATTGTGACCACCCTTCACACTATCATTACGATTACCACCCGTCCTATCATCCATACCATCATCATTCTGGCCATCATTATCCCGATTATCACTATTACCATCAGCCAGTGGTAAACATGGGCTCATCTGTTCCCAAAGCAACTGATGAAGAGATAGGATATAGCAATGAGGATATAATGAGAGACACTTTGGATCCAACTTTGTCATCGTCTGATATCCTTATGAGAATTAATCGCAGCAAAAGTACCCCAAAACCAACCAATTCTTGGTGGAAACCAAGTTGGTTTGGTAAATAATCCATGCACATTTATGTTTATCTTTTGTAATTTAATAAATGCAATAAATTGTGTTAAAATTATCTTGCTCATTATTCTATTAATTCATTTTAGTGCACTTATTTTTTATTATTTAAATTTAATAATTATGGTTTTATGCAATATAACCAAACAACATCATCTTAAATGCTTAAAACATGAATGAAATATTTGATTACACAATAATATTCCACATTATGGTTGACTAGTAATAAACTAAAAACACATTTATGTTTTGCTCAATATTTACCAAAATCAGCAAATAGTTTTCACAATGAAAATTATTTATTTATGGCTTAATATGCAAATTCTTTACATAACTGGTAAATAAAATATTTTGCATCACATTTAAATTGTATATTATATTCATACCCATATCAATATTATATTCAATTTAATTAATTTAGTATTAATTGTCAGCACAAGTAGTTATGAAGAGGAGTACCCGGAATACAGTGATTACGACAGATATAACTATAGATATGATAACCCGTACGGACACAACGGACATAATGGACACAATGAACACAACGGACACTACAGACAACTTGTGATGAACTTCAAAACTCCCGGCATTAATAAGCTATACGCCGATCTCCTGAACCCGAAACTGTCGGTCAAACAGGTGAACGCCCGACTGCCGGCACCGGTGGCCTCACGGCATAAAGTGAGCGCCCGATCGGGTGGTGTTTGCACAACAGTCCGGTGTAACGAATGTCTCGATTCGTGCAAATTTCTCAAGACATCCAAGTATTCAGACCTCGATATCACACAATACACGTATTTGAGACTTTGCTCCGAGGGTTGTAAAGACAATCTGTATGTATTGGCACACAATTTGTAAATTTTGTAGTTTTGTTTGAATATAAGTTATATATGTGTGTGATTCTTGTAAATTGATCTTGATTATTATTTGTGTCTATGTAATTGGTTATTATTTTAAGGCCATGTCTGCAAAAATCTGAGTGTTTGCCTGTAATGAAGGAAAATCCCGATTTTTTTATCACTTGCGCCAATAAATGCAATCTCTTCCAGGTATTTATTTAATTGACTAAACTATTTATTAATTTAATTTCTTACTTAGATAATACCACAAATATTCAAGACTGTTGATTGTCCAACACATTAATTTTGCAATTGAATAACTGTTTGCTAAAAATGTTGCTGTTTATTTGATATTGACATTGTTATAGAAATAATTATTAATAAACATTAACAAATTTTTTTAAATAAATTCATATAAACCACATAATATTTAAAACTTAATTTCTAAAGTGGAAAATTCATTAATTGATACTTAAAATAAATAATAATAAAATAATTAAAATGTCGGAATAGAAAATATAAATTAAGTTTCATGTATACAAAGTATACAAATAACATTTCTATATTAATTTTAATATTATTTTAAGTAAATAATTTATTTAATAAACTAAATAATTGTACGATGACATTATATTTACAATTATTTCAAATTACAGGTAATTTAAAATAATTATTAACAAAAATATTATTGACTTAAATTGAAAATATATCCACAAATTCATAGTTTTATTAACAATAAGCATATATACGGGAAAAGTTTGGCCACAAGATTACGACACTTCGGATCAGCCCTACGACCCATCGGAGCCCTCATACGAGTCACACCATTCACACAATCCCTACAGTCATTCATATTCATTGGATCCGTTTCAACAGTTATACCCGTCATTCCGGGCCCTCAAGTCCCCTCAAAAACCGGGTGCAAAAAAGAAATTGCCAAAAATAACACCTAAAAAACCGACCAAAAAGGACCTGGCTCTTCTCGATGACCTATTGAACCCGAAGCTGTCCATCCATGAGGCCGACCAGAAGGTGCCTAAAGCCCAGGGCATTCATAAGCGAGTTCGGGGCTGCGCTGACAGACGGTGTAATGAATGTCTGGACTCGTGTCGGTTCCTCAAGAGCTCAAAGTTGGGCTCAAATTTGTTGAGTCAATACACGTATCTCAGGCTCTGCGCCGTCGGCTGTAAGGAAGATATGTATGAACGATGTAATTGTATTTTCAACCATGTTTTTGATTTAATGTGATATTTGTTGTGTAGATCGTGTTTGAAGGAATCTTACTGTTTGCCAGTGATGCAGGAGAATCCCGACTTTTTTATACAGTGCTCCAACATGTGCAATCTGTTCCAGGTTAATTATCACACATTATTATATCATTAATGTCACTTTAATAATAATGCTATTTATTCACTACAGTTAGTTCCCAAAATTTTCAAGACTGGAGATAATTGTTAATGCAATTAATAATTTATTAATTGTTTTAAATCGTCTATATGTAAATCTATTTAAATTATGCAAACACTAGATTGTTTTTAATGTTTACAACATTTTAGTAAAATAAAAATCAAATAACAAAATGTGTGATAAATAAGTTATGAGACTTTATTTACAACAAAAAAAACAAACAAATCACAATCTAATAGCAATTATCATTCAACAAACGCCAGCGGAATGGTCTCTTGAAGCGGACACTTATCGTTAATACAATTAACAAAGGCGTTGGCGTCAGTTCTGACCACCGGTAGGCACGAGTTGCTGGTAAAACAGGGCACTGAGCCCTTACAGCCCTCGGCGCATAGGGTCAGGTATAGGAACTGGGTCAGCATGTGCTTATTAGCCAGGTCGCTGTATTTAAGAAAATTGCACGTGGTCAAACAGTCGCGACACGTCTGGTCTTTGCATTCACTTTTGGTGTCTTTGCGGTGATGTCCGGTGCTCTCCAACGCCCACAACATTGTCTGCGAGTACGGCATGAATGGGTTCAACAGGTCGTCCATAAAGTCCTGTTTGCTATACCCGTCGCCGCTCTGACCCGAGATTTGCACCCAATTCTCGCACATTATGTATACAAATACTGTTTTAATTAAATGTAATTATGTTTTAATTAAATGAATGTCTGATTCAATATTTACTTACAAATAGCGTGTAATTTGTAAACACTAGCCATTCATTCATTTCATTTGATGATTGAATTGTTATAAATTATTTTCTAAATAATTGTTTCATTTAAAATTTATATTTGAATGAAAGAATAATAATTTGTAAATTTGTTTTTCATAAATTAAACAATTCAGAGAAAAAGCAATATGGTATTTATGACATTTTAATACATTAGCCCATATTTGGTAAATGTTAAACAAGTTTTAATAGTGAGGCCACCGCGCGATTCTGGGAATGCAGGCGCCAGCAATCCTGCGATTCCTTAGCCATAAAGGGGGTCATAAACCCCAGGTATGGGTCACCTGTGGGGCACACATAGACGGACAGCACCCAAAGTGCTGTTCAATACTTACTTTTGTCTCACATTCTCTCACATACACTCACTCTCTGAGCACATGTAAAGTACAATACTTTTACTTTTGAATCAAGTGTTTTGAACGAGAAAATAACGTTTCACTTTTTGTTTCAATTATTTACTAATAATTATGTATTAATTGTTAATTGAGTTTTGCATTGCATTTGATTTTTGGTCTCAAATATAGGTATAATTTGAATGAAATGTAAGTATATTTGAATGACAAGTGATTTACTATTGAATGCATTACTTATTAATATTCATTACATTTTGTCCATCAGTTCTTCACATGTGTTTGAATTCAATCCATTAAATGCTTAATAATGTCTGAAATGAAGGCAAGAGTTGGTCTCAGAGATGGCAAACAAGTGATACAATGGATGGACAGAATGGATGACGATTTGTGTCAACTATTATTATCGTATCTGACACCTGAAGAGCGGTTCCGATTTGAATGTGTTTCCAAACAGTGGCAGAAAGTGATATATAAGACACAAACAGAGCTTTTATTTGAAAAGGAATCCCAAATAAGTGATAAAACATTTGCATTAATACTGAAAAAGTGTCAAAACATCACAACTATTGACAGAATGCCGGCGAAGACTCGTTTGGAGACAGTTATTGAAAACTGCCATAAATTGCATTCAATCTCTTCGTGGTATAAACGGGAGGAAAGTGTGGCAACAATTGAGGCATTTTTCACTAAATATTGCCAACAATTAAAGTATTATAACATTCACGGATCCGCAGATTATCCAGTGCTGGAACAGAGAATCACTTGTTGTGCAAAATTAACACAATTTAATTCATTGTCGATTCCATTGTTTCTATTTAGTGGTAATCATAACGAGATATTATTTAAGAGATTAATAAGCGTTGCCTTTATGTACGACAACCAAAACAGCGATAACTTTATGGCATTTACGCGAAAATATGGCAAACAATTGAAATCATTCGCAGTGATTGTCAAGAGAGACGGCACAGATATGTCAATACTAGTAAATTGTTTGTCACAAATGTCACAATTAATTGATTTCCGACTCCAGATCTTATCAGAATCTCACATATCTGGAGATCAATTGAAACGAGTGGCACTCAATTGCCGTCATCTGAAGAGTTTATTACTTCATTCCCGCGTTAAACATTCACAGCACATGTTTACCCAAATTATTAAAACAATTAATGATTACTTTAAACATTTAAAGCGCTTAGAGTTTTGGTTCACTTTTCCCGATGAGTTTGAGTTAATGAGCGAATCGTTGAATAAATGCCAACAATTAACACACATAACAGTCAGAACATCCAGAGATGTGATAACTGAAGAGTTTTTCACAAATATCGCCAATCATTTACCGAAACTTCAATATTTATTTATGAATTGCTGGGATATCACAGACAATATGTTGAATGAATTGTCAAAATTGGCCAAAATTCAGACCATTAAACTCAACACCGAGGCTGACATCAAAACAGATCTCAAAACTCCCAACGATTGGAAATCACCAAAAATTGTCGGCGTTTTTATTAATCGTAAACTAATTTCACTAAATATGTAATTAAAACACTCATTACTAATTAGTAATTACTCTACTATTGATATGAACTTTCTACGGTATTATAATTTATAAAATATAGTTTTTGTGTAAAATTCATTATTATTATTTCATTTGTATCCAAATTTTGTTTTCATTTGAAAATCTAAATAAGTTTTTAAAATAAAATATTGGCTTTAAATAATACCAATGGATTTTCATATTAATTAAACAAATAAATTTATTATGAAACGCTTTTATGTTAACTGACCACGTTATTAAGTTATTAACTAGATTATTTGGTTATTAATAATAGAGCCAACCATAATAACACAAATTTATTAATAACCGATTTAAACGAGAATTTAATTTAGTGGCCCTGAGCTCCAGTTTACCAAATAAAGTATATACTGTACATTAAAAATCTACAAACATGAAAATTCCTTTTGAAAATGTTACCATAATCAATTAAACAGACAATCACTTAACATAAACATAGGGTATAATCTTAAACATATCGCAATCATTAGCGCACTGAACAAAATAGTCGGGATTCTCGGCCATAATCGGGAATTCCCGAAAATTTAAAGCTTTATTCATTACAGTATATGTGAAGTGATTCTCACGTGACCTGTGAGTCATGTTTTAACAGTAATAATCTTATTGTGCGTTCAATTCAAGCATTGTTTTCAATGTTTTAACAAAACGTGATTTTTTATCAATATTTCAAACATTGATTTTTTAATTGAATTAAAGAAGTTTTAATTTCGCTTAACTTTTGTAAACAATATTTAGTATTAATTATGTATTAATTGTTAATTCAGTTTTGCATTGCATTTGATTTTTGGTCTCAAATATAGGCATAATTTGACTGAAATGTGAGTATTATTTGAATGACAAGTGATTTACTATTGAATGCATTACTTATTAATATTCATTACATTTTGTCCATCAGTTCTTCACATGTGTTTGAATTAGCATTCAATCCATTAAATGCTTAATAATGTCTGAAATGAAGAGAAGAGTTGGTCTCAGAGATGGCAAAGAAGTGATACAATGGATGGACAGAATGGATGACGATTTGTGTCAACTATTGTTGTCGTATCTGACACTTGAAGAGCGGTTCCGATTTGAATGTGTGTCCAAACAGTGGCAGAGAGTTATATACGAGACACAAACAGAGGTTTTGTTTAAAAAGGATTCCCAAATAAGTGACCAAACATTTGCATTAATACTGAAAAAGTGTCAAAACATCACAACTATTGATGGAATGCC